TGGCCACTGCTGTTAAGTCGTTTGCTCTCCGCGAAAGCCACCGCTAAAGCGCCAATCTAAGCTGCGGTCGAGCCCGGCCCTTATTGTATACAGTACGATGGCCGACGGTGTCGGTGTCGGCGTCGCCACGTCGGCGGTTGGCCCTGATCAGCAAACGGCTGTTGGTACGCCACGTCGGCGTTCGGCCCTGATCAGCAAACGGCTGTTGATACGCCACGTCGACGTTTGGCCCTGATCAGCAGACGGCTGTTGATACGCCACGTCGGCGTTTGGCCCTGATCAGCAGACGGCTGTTGGTACGCCACGCCGACGTTTGGCCCTGATCAGCAGACGGCTGTTGGTACGCCACGTCGGCGTTTGGCCCTGATCAGCAGACGGCTGTTGGTACGCCACGTCGGCGGTTGGTTCCCCGGGTCGCCGACGGCCTCCAACCTGACCCCCACGGACGTGGCGGCGGCCGGGCTGGATACAGCGCGGACGCCCGCTGGCCTGTAGACTGGCCCGCCTGTACGCCACTGGTGCCGCGCTCTGATCCGGTCCCGTGCTGCAGCTCACTGCGGCGGGTGTCTGAGCTCTGGTCCGGTCCCGTGCTGCAGCTCACTGCGGCGGGCGTCTGAGCTCTGGTCCAGTCCCGTGCTGCAGCTCACTGTGGCGGGTGTCTGAGCTCTGGTCCAGTCCCGTGCTGCAGCTCACTGCGGCGGGCGTCTGAGCTCTGGTCCAGTCCCGTGCTGCAGCTCACTGCGGCGGGTGTCTGAGCTCCGGTCCAGTCCCGTGCTGCAGCTCACTGCGGCGGGTGTCTGAGCTCCGGTCCAGTCCCGTGCTGCAGCTCACTGCGGCTGGTGTCTGAGCTCTGGTCCAGTCCCGTGCTGCAGCTCACTGCGGCGGGTGTCTGAGCTCTGAGGACCGCTCTCCGGATCTGGTCTAATTCGTCCCGGCGGCGGCTGGGCTCATCGCCCTCTCGGTCTTTCCCGGGGCGTGTTCTCGCTCGTGTGTACCGTACAGCCTGCCTGTGCTGCCTTCCCTCATGGTTACCCTGTACCGCACAGCTTGCCTGTGCTGCCTTCCCTCATGGTTACCCTGTACCGCACAGCTTGCCTGTGCTGCCTTCCCCCATGGTTACCCTGTACCGCACAGCTTGCCTGTGCTGCCTTCCCTCATGGTTACCCTGTACCGCACAGCTTGCCTGTGCTGCCTTCCCTCATGGTCACCCTGTACCGCACAGCTTGCCTGTGCTGCCTTCCCTCATGGTCACCCTGTACCGCACAGCTTGCCCGTGCTGCCTTCCCTCATGGTTACCCTGTACCGCACAGCTTGCCTGTGCTGCCTTCCCCCATGGTTACCCTGTACCGCACAGCTTGCCTGTGCTGCCTTCCCTCATGGTCACCCTGTACCGCACAGCTTGCCTGTGCTGCCTTCCCTCATGGTCACCCTGTACCGCACAGCTTGCCTGTGCTGCCTTCCCTCATGGTTACCCTGTACCGCACAGCTTGCCTGTGCTGCCTTCCCTCATGGTCACCCTGTACCGCACAGCTTGCCTGTGCTGCCTTCCCTCATGGTCACCCTGTACCGCACAGCCTGCCTGTGCTGCCTTCCCTCATGGTCACCCTGTACCGCACAGCCTGCCTGTGCTGCCTTCCCTCATGGTTACCCTGTACCGCACAGCTTGCCTGTGCTGCCGTCTCTCATGGTCACCCTGTACCGCACAGCTTGCCTGTGCTGCCTTCCCTCATGGTTACCCTGTACCGCACAGCTTGCCTGTGCTGCCGTCTCTCATGGTCACCCTGTACCGCACAGCCTGCCCGTGCTGCCTTCCCTCATGGTTACCCTGTACCGCACAGCTTGCCTGTGCTGCCTTCCCTCATGGTCACCCTGTACCGCACAGCTTGCCCGTGCTGCCTTCCCTCATGGTTACCCTGTACCGCACAGCTTGGCTGTGCTGCCTTCACTCATGGTGACCCTGTACCGCACAGCCTGCCCGTGCTGCCTTCCCTCATGGTTACCCTGTACCGCACAGCTTGCCTGTGCTACCTTCCCTCATGGTCACCCTGTACCGCACAGCTTGCCTGTGCTGCCTTCCCTCATGGTCACCCTGTACCGCACAGCTTGCCTGTGCTGCCTTCCCTCATGGTTACCTTGTACCGCACAGCTTGCCTGTGCTGCCGTCTCTCATGGTCACACTGTACTGCACAGCTTGCCCGTGCTGCCTTCCCTCATGGTTACCCTGTACCGCACAGCTTGCCTGTGCTGCCTTCCCTCATGGTCACCCTGTACCGCACAGCTTGCCTGTGCTGCCGTCTCTCATGGTCACACTGTACCGCACAGCTTGCCTGTGCTGCCGTCTCTCATGGCCACACTGTACTGCACAGCTTGCCTGTGCTGCCTTCCCTCATGGTCACCCTGTACCGCACAGCTTGCCTGTGCTGCCGTCTCTCATGGCCACACTGTACTGCACAGCTTGCCCGTGCTGCCTTCCCTCATGGTTACCCTGTACCGCACAGCTTGCCTGTGCTGCCTTCCCTCATGGTCACCCTGTACCGCACAGCTTGCCTGTGCTGCCTTCCCTCATGGTTACCCCGTTACCGCCACAGCTTGCCTGTGATTGCCTTCCCTCATGGTCACCCTGTTACCGCACAGCTTGCCTGTGCGCCTTCAACTCATGGTTACCCTGTTGTACCGCCCCACAGATTGCCTGTGCTGCCGTACTCTCATGGTCAACACCTGTACGGCACCAGCTTGCCCGTGCTGCCTTCCCTCATGGTTACCCTGTTACCGCACAAGCTTGCCTGTGCTGCCTTCCCTCATGGTCTACCCTGTCCCAGCACAGCTTGCCTGTGCTGCCTTCCCTCATGGTCACCCTGTACGCACAGCTTTGCGTCTGTGCTGCCTTCTCCTCATGGCCTACACTGATACCTGCACAGCTTTGCCTGCTGCTGCCTTCCCTAATGGTTACCCTGTGATCCGCACAGGCCCCTTGCCCTGTGCTGCCTTCCCTCATGGTTGCCCTGTACCGTACAGCTTGCCTGTGCTGCCTTCCCTCATGGTTACCCTGTACCGCACAGCTTGCTTGTGCTGCCTTCCCTCATGGTTACCCTGTCGTGAAGAGCCCCATGTCACGGTATGACAATGCGAGAACCAAGTGCGCGCCGCACAAGCGCCGTTCGAGGCGTTGTGCCTTATGGCGTGATGCCGTAAGCCCCACTTAACGTGGCCTTGGGATCTGTTGTGATGTCACATTATATGTAGTGACGTCATGTGACTACTGTCAGGATCTTAAGCCGAGTAACATTGTCGTGAAGACGGACTGCACGCTCAAGATCTTGGACTTCGGTCTGGCGCGCTCCACCGGCACATCGTTCATGATGACGCCCTACGTGGTGACGCGCTACTACCGCGCCCCCGAGGTCAGTATCGGCTCCTCCCCCCTCCCTTCCCCGGTGTCAGTATAGCGCCCCCAAGGTCAGTATTGCGCCCCCAGAGCTCAGCACTGCGCCCCGCATGTGTCGGTAAGGCGCCCCATGAGGCTGGTGGCGCTCTCGAGGGTTTACTGTGGCACCCCTCAGTCACCTGTGTGTCGCCGAGTTCAGCACAGGGCCTCTCGCGACCACTTCCTATCCCATCAAGCCAGTGCCTCCCCCGCTTTGTTACTGTGTTTCTTCGAACATTTTCAGGCATTTATTTAGTTGTGTTGGAACATTTTTTTCGTGTTTCTATGAAAATTGATATATGCCTACTCCCTCCCAGACTTTCAATGCCGCTAGACCATTTGCCACGTAGTTTAGCGGGTTGAGGCCACCTTGTGAGGGGCTGGATGAAAGGGTGCCTAGAAACAATGTGGAAAAATACATCCTCTCATTATTGGCGAACTGCTCCTATGTTAAAGCAAGGTCGTCATGTGTTCATATCGATCAGCCAACAGGCGTTCAGACTGGACTGTTGAAAGCTGAATGGGCTTGGCAACGGAATTACAGGCCGCTGCGTGTTAATCTGTATATTATATTTCCGTTCCATGTCATCTGTGCGCCATAAAGCTAATGAGATTGTGTTATAGTTGGGTGGGGACCGCTCGGACGCGTCACCCTATATCCTTCACCGTCTAGGCGCCGACGGCAACCGCGGCCGAAATGCGACCAGCCCCTCGCCGCCATGGCCCCCTGTATCAGCTGATTAAACGCTAATGAAATTGTGTGCCGGAGCGTAGGAGTCGACGACCAAAACAGGCGTCCAGCGACGGGGCGGCGGCAGTCGGAGCTGTGGCGGCGCATGGCAGTCGCCGTGTGGTGGAGTGGACGGTCTGCCCTGGGAGTGGGTGGGGTCCCGTTACGTTCAGTGGAGAGGGACGGAGGCAGTGGGAGCTGTGGCGGCGGTGACGGCGGACCGCTGCCCCCGGCTGGCACCGACACACATGTTTTTGTCCACGCCAGTGTCATCACCTGACCGGCCTAGCGGGTCCCACGGCCTTGACTGGCTGTGGATGACTGTCATTGGCGAAAGCCCCGTCACCAGCAACGGTGGTACATGTGCTGTTGAGCATACACCCTGCAGCATTGTTAGAGCAAGGCTCGACCGGCGTGTACAGCGCTCGCTCTGCTGACGCATCGGTGCTGGCCAGCCGTCCCCCGGCATCGGTGGGCCGCTCACACCTCTACTGACGCACCGGTGCTGGCCAGCCGTCTCCCGGCATCGGTGGGTCGTTCTCGCACGCCAAACTCCCATCACCTCAAACATTTCCTGTGTCTGGCCGCGCGGGCGGAACCGTCGCCGCGCCGCCCGCATGTCGGTGTGCCGACGCCGAGCTGACAGGTCACCGCCGAACTGACAGGTCACCGCCGAGCTGACATTCAGCGCGTGACGCCGAGCTGAGTGTGTCAGACGGGCCACCGCCGACGGCTGTGCAGCCTGGACACAGTGACCCGTTGTCGACAGGCGGCCGATGCTTGGGACCCCTCTGCGTGCGTGTGTGTGGTGGCGTCGGCCGGGCGCTGTGTCGCACTGCATCGCGCCGTCCTTTCCGGCAGGTAATCCTCGGCATGGGCTACAAGGAGAACGTCGACATCTGGTCCATCGGCTGCATCATGGGCGAAATAATCCGCGGCGCCGTGCTGTTCCCCGGCTCCGACCACATTGACCAGTGGAACAAGATCATCGGTCAGTGTCGCGGGTGGGGGCGGCGTCACTAGGAAAGCAGCGGGGTGGCTGTGGCGTCACTAGGAAAGCAGCGGGGTGGGGGCGGCGTCGCTGGGAAGGCAGCAGGGTGGGGCGGCGTCACTAGGAAAGCAGCGGGGTGGGGGGCGGCGTCACTAGGAAAGCAGCGGGGTGGGGGCGGCGTCGCTGGGAAGGCAGCGGGCGGGGGCGGCGTCACTGGGAAGGCAGCGGGGGTCGGGCGGCGTCACTGAGAAGGCAGCGAGGTGGGGGCGGCGGTCGCTGGGAAGGCAGCGAGGTGGGGGCGGCGTCGCTGGGAAGGCAGCGGGGTGGGGCGGCGTCACTGGGAAGGTAGCGGGGTCGGGCGGCGTCACTGGGAGGGCAGCGGGGTGGGGGCGGGCGTCGCTGGGAAGGCAGCGAGGTGGGGCGGCGTCACTGGGAAGGCAGCGAGGTGGGGGCGGCGTCACTGGGAAGGCAGCGGGGTGGGGGGCGCGTCACTGGGAAGGCAGCGGGGTGGGGGCGGCGTCGCTGGAAGGCAGCGAGGTGGGGGCGGCGTCACTGGGAAGGCAGCGAGGTGGGGGCGGCGTCACTGGGAAGGCAGCGGGGGTGGGGGCGGGCGTCACTGGGAAGGTAGCGGGGTCGGGCGGCGTCACTGGGAGGGCATCGGGTGGGGGCGGCGTCGCTGGGAAGGCAGCGAGGTGGGGCGGCGTCACTGGGAAGGCAGCGAGGTGGGGGCGGGCGTCACTGGGAAGGCAGCGGGGTGGGGGCGGCGTCACTGGGAAGGCAGCGGGGGTGGGGGCGGCGTCACTGGGAAGGCAGCGAGGTGGGGGGCGGCGTCACTGGGAAGGCAGCGGGGTGGGGCGGCGTCACTGGGAAGGTTAGCGGGGTCGGGCGGCGTCACTGGGAGGGCAGCGGGGGTGGGGGCGGCGTCGCTGGGAAGGCAGCGAGGTGGGGCGGGCGTCGCTGGGAAGGCATCGGGGGTGGGACGGCGTCACTGGGAAGGCAGCGGGGTGGGGAACGGCGTCGCTGGGAAGGCAGCGGGGTGGGGACGGCGTCACTGGGAAGGCAGCGGGGTCGGGCGGCGTCACTGGGAGGGCAGCGGGGTGGGGGCGGCGTCGCTGGGAAGGCAGCGAGGTGGGGCGGCGTCGCTGGGAAGGGCAGCGGGGTGGGGACGGCGTCGCTGGGAAGGCAGCGGGGTGGGGGACGGCGTCGCTGGGAAGGCAGCGGGGTGGGGACGGCGTCACTGGGAAGGGCAGCGGGGTGGGGACGGCGTCACTGGAAGGCAGCGGGGTGGGGACGGCGTCGCTGGGAAGGCAGCGGGGTGGGGACGGCGTCACTGGGAAGGCAGCGGGGTCGGGCGGCGTCACTGGGAGGGCAGCGGGGTGGGGGCGGCGTCGCTGGGGAAGGCAGCGAGGTGGGGCGGCGTCGCTGGGAAGGCAGCGGGGTGGGGACGGCGTCGCTGGGAAGGCAGCGGGGTGGGGACGGGCGTCACTGGGAAGGCAGCGGGGGTGGGGCGGCGTCACTGGGAAGGCAGCGGGGGTGGGGACGGGCGTCGCTGGGAAGGCAGCGGGGTGGGGGGCGGCGTCACTGGGAAGGCAGCGGGGTGGGGACGGCGCCACTGGGAAGGCAGCGGGGTTGGGGCGGCGTCGCTGGGAGGGCAGCGGGGTGGGGGCGGCGTCGCTGGGAAGGCAGCGGGGTGGGGACGGCGTCGCTGGCGGGTCCCCAGGGTTCTGGCTGAACAGTTGGCCCAGAGATAAGGGAAAGAGGGCTTCATGGACCGAGTGATACGGCGGCCGTCGATGTTGTTAAGGGCTGTGGTAAATTGGCATGTTCATCAACTCGCCGGCAGCGCTCTCACAGAGGGACTAAATTCTTTTTGATTGGAGTGGTTGCGATAGAGTCCAAAGGATTGTATAAGACATGCTCATTTTTACATAAATTGGTGTTGGGCCTGCTGCATGGAGACTGGTACATTTTGCATGGGCGCGACGCCCGGTCACCATCGCCTGTGACGGGCTCAGTGGGTGCCCATCGCCTGTGATGGGCTCAGTGGGTGCCCATCGCCTGTGATGGGCTCAGTGGGTGCCCATCGCCTGTGATGGGCTCAGACGGTAGCCGTCGCCTGTGATGGGCTCAGTCGGTGGCCGTCGCCTGTGATGGGCTCAGACGGTGGCCGTCGCCTGTGATGGGCTCAGACGGTGGCCGTCGCCTGTGATGGGCTCAGTCGGTGGCCATCGCTGCTGCTGGAACTGCCGGCCACACAGATTTACGTCCCGCGGAACGGCGGCCTGTCTTTGTGGGATCTCCCTGTCTACCGAGAAAGAGAGCTACAGAGACAGAGATTCTGCTGGCCAACGCGCCGCCCAGCTGAAGTTCTCGTTCGGCCGCCGGGGCACCACTGTGTCCAGTTTCGAGCCCATGTGGTCGTTGGTCGGTCGAACTTGCATACGCCGGCGCTCCCGCCCATATATTGTTCGTGTGCGTTGAAGACGGACGGGTATTGCGCCCGCGGGTGCTCCTGTAGAAGTTCTTAAAACTTCCTGCAGCATACCGCAGACCAGCACATTTGGTCAGTCCTGTTCGCCTTCTAAGTAATGTGCCCCTGTCGTCCCCAGAACAGTTGGGCACGCCGTCCAAGGAGTTCATGGAGCGCCTGCTGCCCACCGTGCGGAACTACGTGGAGAACCGGCCCCGCCACCCGGGCTACAGTTTCGAACGCCTCTTCCCCGACATGCTGTTCCCCGACGACAACACCGAGAACGGCAAGGTCAAAGGTCAGCTGGGGCGAGTCGGGCCGAGTGGTCGTGTTGTGTGCATGTCTGCCGGCTTCCGGCTAACAACGGCAGAAGGGCGCGGGATGTGCCGTAGGTGTTGGACTGGACGTCAGGCTGTCCCGGCCCGAGCGCTGGCGGACAGGACAGCGTCGGGCGCCGCGGCCATGCCATATCAACAACTCAGCGTACAGCAAGGCGGTGCGCGATGCCCGTAGTTAATAGCTGTCCGCTGTCGTCTAATTATCGGGGGAGGATTGCGCGTTGGTGGCGGGGTTGCGTTGGTTGTGGGACCGCTTTCGCCCCCCCCCCCCCCATAGCGAGCAACGACCAGGTTCGATTGATGTAGGCCAACCTGACTGGGCTCGCATACAGTCTTCGCTTAACCCGGCTGCTCGCCGCATGAACTGAACAGATGTTAACTCTCCGGAATGCTCAGTTCACGGCCGCGCAGCCAGCTGGCAGCGGCCTGACCTGGTCTGTCCCAGCCGACCCCTGCTCGTCTGATGTGGTGACGCAGCGGGACCGGTTGACGTGGTGACGGAGCGGGACCGGTTGATGTGGTGACGAAGCCGGACCGGTTGATGTGGTGACGGAGCGGGACCGGTTGACGTGGTGACGAAGCGGGACCGGTTGATGTGGCGACGAAGCCGGACCGGTTGACGTGGTGACGCAGCGGGGCCGGTTGAGGTGGTGACGCAGCGGGGCCGGTTGAGGTGGTGACGGAGCGGGACCGGTTGATGTGGTGACGGAGCGGGACCGGTTGAGGTGGTGACGGAGCGGGACCGGTTGAGGTGGTGACGCAGCGGGGCCGGTTGAGGTGGTGACGCAGCGGGACCGGTTGATGTGGTGACGGAGCGGGACCGGTTGATGTGGTGACGGAGCCGGACCAGTTGACGTGGTGACGGAGCGGGACCGGTTGAGGTGGTGACGGAGCGGGACCGGTTGACGTGGTGACGGAGCGAGACCGGGGCCGGACCGGTTGATGTGGTGACGGAGCCGGACCGGTTGACGTGGTGACGGAGCCGGACCGGTTGATGTTGCAGCGTCGCAGGCGCGTGACCTGCTCTCCAAGATGCTGGTGATCGATCCGGAGCGACGCATCTCCGTGGACGAGGCGCTCCGGCACCCTTACATCAACGTCTGGTTCGAGGACCAGGAGGTGAACGCGGTGAGTGCTGCCACCTTTTGCGGCGTAGGATGTTAAGCCTCTCCTTAGCCCGTTCACTTCCGTTGTGCTGTCTGCCGGGCATGACGTTCGCGAGTCATGTGGTGAATGTGCCGGTTCTGTGTCGGAATGTGAGCCTCCATGCAATCGCCGCCCCTCCATCGCTATACAGGCTCTCCGTGGCTTACATGTGACCTTTATCTCCGCCTGCAGCCACCGCCTGGCCCGTACGACCACTCTGTGGACGAGCGGGAGCACACAGTGGAGCAGTGGAAGGACCTCATCTACAAGGAGGTGATGGACTACGAGAGCGTCCACAACTCGATGGGCCTGGCCAACGCCAACGTGGAGGCCGCCAACGCCGTAGCGCCGGCTGTGCCACGCAGGTGAGCTGCGGCCAGCGCACTGGACACTAGACGGGGCTCGATCGTCCCCACTGGGAGGTGCGTGGCGGCCGCAGCACGCCCCTGTGTTTTGCCCTCCGTTGGCGCGGCCGCCCACTTCTCGACGGCGAATGGCCTGGCAGGTGCCTCCCGGGCCGCATCTGGTGAGAACACTCGCCGCTGGTCTGTCGACCCGCTCGGTGTCTGTACTCCCTGCGGCTCATAGCCGAAGTGCACCGTGCATGAAGGGGTTCGGGAGATGGGAAAGGCGTTCGAATGGCGACGGCTGTACGCCACCGACGCCGGCGGTCGGCCGGCGCCCTGACCGCTGTCCCCATTGTCACTGGCAGGTAGGACTCGGCCGACTGGTGGACAAAATGGCGCGTGAAGATGGGATGGTGCCAGCCTCCGTGAGTGACGCTCAGTCACCTAGTGGACGGCACGGCGCGGCCGAGCTGATGACGTCAGTGGACGGCGAATACGTCATCGGGCGGGAAGCACTCCAGCCGGCCGACCGAAACTTCACGCCGCCTGTCCACCAAGCGATAGAAACTGACTGTACATACGACCATTCCGAGAACTAGTGTTTTACAATTGAGGTGATAGATGTCGCCCGCGGAGGCGGCGGCCCACCGCTCCGAATGAGTAGCGAACTGGCTATCTAGGCACTAACCAATCGTGATTGTTGTTAATTTGTAGCGGTACTTACCACGTCTCGCGTTCCTTCTGGCTTCAATAGGCGTGCGCTGACACGCTGTCGCCCGGCTGCAGCCTTTGTGCCGCGGCTGGTGCCCGTCCCGGCCAGGCTGGCACACGGCTGCCGTCCCGGCCGCATGGCCCGTCCGCCGTCGTGTTGGTCACCCTCCCGGACCTCTTCGGACGGCGGAGCGCCCGCTCCAATAATGGTGTAGCACCGGTGGACCGTGTGGAGCCGGAGCCCGTGGGGTCCGGTTCGCCGTCGCGCTGCTAGGCACGGAACGGGGCCGGTCCCGGTCAGCACAGATAGCATCCGGTGTTCGGCAGGCACTCTTTGGCACGCTGGTGACGGCCTGGGATGCGACCACTGCTCCTGCGCCCAGTCGACTGATTTGTGTGCATGACCGTGTATGCAATTCCTGACTTACGCGAGGACGCCATTTTTAGTCGGAATGGTGTTGTTTTGATTAAGCTTTCTGTTTTAAATGCGCACACTCATGCCGTGACCCATGGATTGTTAGGCGCGATTTCAGCGGCGGTTATGATCTGACCGGGCCCGCAGTGGTAGATTTTACTTGGACAGTCAAATGTTATCGGTTGTTTGTCGGAGGGGAGCGGTTTCGTTGTACACTGACGCCCGGTGGCCACGACTTGACTGTGGTGCTTCGTTTGTTTTACGCCCGCCCGTGAGTGCGCTTATTTGCATCACTGAAACCGGGCGCACTCGAGCTCCGGGCCCTCGAAGACTGCCGCGGGCGGGAATCCCGCCCGCGGCGGCGTTGTGCTGGCTGGCGGCCGTCCCGGGTCGCTTGGGCTGCGGCTGGGCGCGGTCGTCGCCGGCGGCGCCAGCACGCATCAGCGGCGGACGGGCAGTGGCTGGAGTTGGCCGGCACCAGCGGCGGCGGCGACGGCGGCGCGGTGGCGGGATCCGGCCGACGGCAGCCACCGCAGCTGCCGACGGACGGGCGGCGTTGGAAGTGTGGTGGCGGACTCTGTCTCGGGTCGGGTCGCCAGCACTTCGCTGCGGTGCCCTGGAGTTCCAGTTTTGTGGCCGGCGACGCCATCGGTTCAGTGGGCGCGGCGCACTTGTCCAAAGCTGCGCCGCGGGAGGAGGCGGGTGATGGCGAGGGTGGCGCGGGGAGGGGCCGCTGCGCGGGAGCGCCGCCCCGGGCCGGCGCGACCCTGTGATACCGGAGCGGAGCGCTCAGCCCGCGGCCAACCGCGCTCCGGTGCTCCCGCTAGGTGTGTGCATGAGATGCGTGATCGTGCGGTGCGTAACTGGGAGCCAGCGTGACGATGCGCAGCGTGAGGACACGCTGTGGTGCAGGTGATCACGAATATAGGACACATCTATCCGTTATCGGCTGCGTCTGGACAGACAGACAGAATGAAACACGGCAGCGACTAGGAGTGCACCACAGCAGCCTGTTGGGTGGATGCTGGTAATGGGATGATTAATAGTAACGCCTTTTGTTGTTAAATGGCAATGTTTGGGTGTTGTCAGCAGAGTTCCGGGGTGGGGGGCTTAAGGAGTCCCGTTTGCGCTGTCCTGATCTCAGCTATATGCGCGAACGAGTGAGCTTCGGTGGGGGTGGGGGCTGCTGGTGTCCCGTTCGTACTGTCCTGATCTCAATCATATCCGCGAACGAGCGAGCGCATGATGCAGGCCCGAGTGCGTCGGCTGCACTGTCGGACGCGTGCCAGGAGCTAACGCCGTTACATCGGCTGTGCTGTCTGGCGCGTGCGAGGAGCTAACACCGTTACATCAGCTGTGCTGTCGGACGCGTGCCAGGAGCTAACGCCGTTACATCGGCTGTGCTGTCTGGCGCGTGCCAGGAGCTAACACCGTTACATCAGCTGTGCTGTCGGGCGCGTGCCGGGAGCTAACACCGTTACATCAGCTGTGCTGTCTGGCGTATGCCAGGAGCTAACACCGTTACATCAGCTGTGCTGTCGGGCGCGTGCCAGGAGCTAACGCCGTTACATCGGCTGTGCTGTCGGGCGCGTGCCAGGAGCTAACGCCTTTACATCAGCTGGGATGTCGGGCGCTTGCCAGGAGCTAACACTGTTACACTAACATACGGTGCTGATGTTCACATACCAAACGGAATCACACGTCTTTGGGGATTCATTTTGCTTTCCCTGCTTTGTTTTTTGCTTTGGATGCGAATGTTTTAGATGTGGAGATATTGAAATGGCATGTGCTCTAACCGCTGGTAAAGTTTTCGAAGAGGTCAGTCCTGCAGTTGCCGAGTAAAGACTTCGCCTGATCGCTCTTGATCGCTCTTTATACGGTTTTTGGTTTTTGCAATCGCAAGGCTCATACGGGTTTTGAAGGGGAACGTGGTGACACGAGGCCACCAGTTTCAGAGGCAGCTATCTAGGTCGAGGATGATACGACCTCGCCGCCATCCAGCAAAGTAGACTCGAGCCAAGGTATAGATCCTCTCCAAACCAACACGGATCAAAACCGGAAATGCGGTTGCATTGGCCGTTCTGGAACTGGTGAACTATGGTTACTACCCCCACCTTCAAATACTGCTTGCACCGCTATGGGGCTTGCAGTCTGTGTGGACCTATGTAGCCAAGTCCAAACTCACAGACCGCTTGACTCTTCAAAACATTTACCAACAGATAGAGCGCCGACGGTTTCAGTAACCGTTCTGGGACTGCCATCCTCAGATCACCACTTCACCCTCAAGACTGCATAAACCTGTTGGGGCGATCCAGCCAGGTCCATACTGGGAAAGTGTAGCGCTGAAATCTTCGGAATATTCACCAGCAGAGTGCATGCGATTTCGTGAGCAGTTATGGAAATGGGTGGCATCAGGTCACCATTTTCAGCTTTAAAAAAACCGCGCAACCCACTACCGAACATTGCAGCCAAGCCAAAACTGGGAAATCGCTCGATCGATGTCCTCAAAATCTTGACCAGCAGGCAAAGCGCCGACGATGTCTTGAGCCGTCCTGCAGCTGCTAAGCTCAGGCCATCATTACCAGCAGGCAGAGCACCGGGATGTCTTGAGCCGTCCTGCAGCTGCCAAGCTCAGGTCACCATTACCAGCAGGCAGAGCACCGGCGATGTCTTGAGCCGTCCTGTGACTGCTGAGCACAAGTCACCATTACCGGCAGGCAGAGCACCGGGATGTCTTGAGCCGTCCTGCAGCTGCTGAGCTCAGGTCATCATTACCAGCAGGCAGAGCACCGACGATGTCTTGAGCCGTCCTGTGACTGCTGAGCACAAGTCACCATTACCGGCAGGCAGAGCACCGACGATGTCTTGAGCCGTCCTGTGACTGCTGAGCTCAGGTCACCATTACCAGCAGGCAGAGCACCGACGATGTCTTGAGCCGTCCTGTGACTGCTGAGCACAAGTCACCATTACCAGCAGGCAGAGCACCGACGATGTCTTGAGCCGTCCTGTGACTGCTGAGCTCAGGTCACCATTACCAGCAGGCAGAGCACCGACGATGTCTTGAGCCGTCCTGTGACTGCTGAGCTCAGGTCACCATTACCGGCAGGCAGAGCACCGACGATGTCTTGAGCCGTCCTGTGACTGCTGAGCACAAGTCACCATTACCAGCAGGCAGAGCACCGGGATGTCTTGAGCCGTCCTGCAGCTGCCAAGCTCAGGTCACCATTACCAGCAGGCAGAGCACCGGCGATGTCTTGAGCCGTCCTGCAGCTGCTGAGCTCAGATCATCATTACCAGCAGGCAGAGCACCGACGATGTCTTGAGCCGTCCTGTGGCTGCTGAGCACAAGTCACCATTACCGGCAGGCAGAGCACCGACGATGTCTTGAGCCGTCCTGTGACTGCTGAGCACAAGTCACCATTACCGGCAGGCAGAGCACCGACGATGTCTTGAGCCGTCCTGTGACTGCTGAGCACAAGTCACCATTACCGGCAGGCAGAGCACCGACGATGTCTTGAGCCGTCCTGTGACTGCTGAGCACAAGTCACCATTACCGGCAGGCAGAGCACCGACGATGTCTTGAGCCGTCCTGTGACTGCTGAGCTCAGGTCACCATTACCGGCAGGCAGAGCACCGACGATGTCTTGAGCCGTCCTGTGACTGCTGAGCACAAGTCACCATTACCAGCAGGCAGAGCACCGACGATGTCTTGAGCCGTCCTGTGACTGCTGAGCTCAGGTCACCATTACCAGCAGGCAGAGCACCGACGATGTCTTGAGCCGTCCTGCAGCTGCCGAGCTCAGGTCACCATTACCAGCAGGCAGAGCACCGACGATGTCTTGAGCCGTCCTGCAGCTGCTGAGCTCAGGTCACCATTACCAGCAGGCAGAGCACCGACGATGTCTTGAGCCGTCCTGCAGCTGCTGAGCTCAGGTCACCATCTTTTCGTTCAAAGACCACCTAAACCACTTCGGGCACTGAAGTTCAGTCCAAACTCGGAAATCGCTCGACTGATCTCTTAAAACGTTTACCAGCCACGCACGGTTTCACCAGCCGGCTCGAAAGGGGAGACCATCTTCATCTTTAAAGGCTGCAAACAGCTGACCTCCGGATGGGTGTTGGGTGCGATGGCGGCGTGTGACGTCACTGGCGTGTGACGTCACTGACGTATGACATCACTGATGTCAGTGCCAACGCGCTGGCATCCGTTTTTGAATGCGAAGTTAGTGACCTGAGAACAATAGTTTCCGAACGACTGATAGCGACATCATTGGTCCCGTATCTGCTGATAAAGTTGTGAGGACATTGGCCGGGGGATTTCCTAAGTTGAATTTGGTTATTAGGCCAAAAGGGGTTGGTGCCATTTTTTTGTTTGAAGATATTGGATTGAGGTCTTCAGCTTGCGGGCGGCTGATCGTTGGTGCTATTCCTGCTGGTAAGTTTTTGGGAAGCTCTGTCGAACGGTTTCCGCGCTTTGATTTGGCTTCAAGGTGTCAAAGTGGTTTGTGCAGTTTTTAAAAGTAAAGATAATGTGTTGAGGCCGCCAGTTTCAAAACAGTGAAGGGAACCACATTTTAACTTTCGATTGATGTTGGCTTCGAGAAATGCAGTGGAGTGGTTGTTCAGTTTGAACTTGGCCGCATGCATGGGTGTCGATTTCTCAAAATGATTGGAAGGGGGGGGGGGGGAGAATCGTGGAAGTTGCCATAAGGAGAAAAAGTGAGAAAAACATCACGGCTTTAGTCCACTTTTGTTCTGGCCACACACACACACGCACACACACACGCACGCACGCACGCACGCACGCACGCACGCACGCACGCACGCACGCACGCACGCACACACACACACACACACACACACACACACACACACAGAGAGAGAGAGAGAGAGAGAGAGAGAGAGAGAGAGAGATATATATATATATATATATATATATATATATATATATATATATATATATATATATAACTATATGCACATACGTTTATATATGCATATATCTGTAGTGGTATGCTACGTGACATTCAAGCCCGGCAGCTTGCATAAGCTTCTCAAATACGCCCGTTTTGTGAAGCTGAAGGGATGCCGCCACGAGTGTCGGTTTGCATTCTTTTGGGCTGGCCACCGCCCCCCCCCCCCCCCCCCAGATTTCCGATTTCCCCCAACGGTGAATTTACCCCCTCAACCTTTTGTAGCCAAAATACAAGCAGGTGCTGCTAGTCGGAAATCAAATTCATATCAGTGTTATAGAGCGGCTTTAATGTTTGTTTCGCAGGTGAAATGAGAAAGAAAATGAAAACTATGGTGTCATGTTCAATTCAATGCGGCTGGCTGAGTAAGGCACAGTGAAAAAGCCCCGCGCTTGCACCGTGTTTACTTGAGTATTTCCGTCGTTGAATACTGTTTCTATTTGTTCT